CCCGTACTATGGGTAATTCCATCAAGTCTATTTTGGAAAATAGAGAGCACCCTCCTTCCCTACCTTCTGACGAATTGATTGAATCGAAATAGAAAGTGACGATTTAACTGGCTGTAAATGAATTAGCGGGCTCTTCACACACTGCTACCACTCAAAAAGAATCGGCCGTAGAAGCATAATTTATTTCATGGAAATCAGGCCCAACATTTTCGGGCAAATCTTGGAAAGCCGGGGAACTCACACAAGCTCATTTTCCCATCATGCCTACATAAACATCTCAGCCCTACTCTCATAACTTTCTTTGTTTACAAGAGATTTTCCGCTCTGTCATTTCGATAATTTCTCAGTTCCCTGCAATTTCTGAGGAAGCTGTCACATCGCAGGATTTCATCCGACGTCATTGTGACTCTTTCTTAAAGTCGTCTGCTCATGGATTGCTAACGGCGCACATATGTCATCAAAAGCCCATTTCCTATTCCTCTACAGAATCTAGCTCTCCAGTATGCCTTCCAATACTATCAGACGAAACACACNTACCAATTTGACTCTATAGATTCAATATCTTCTAATATGTAAGTCAGGGATTCTGTAGTCAGCTCATCTTAGCGTTTCTTACCCGGTTTCATTCGAAGAACGACCTGTTGCGGTTCGAGCTGAACGATCGACTTTCCTGACCCTGGTGAACCGAGAGGCATATTCTGAAAATTTTTCAGATTACGGTACACTTCACATGTCGGTATTAAAATGAGAACAATTAATCTGAACGAGGTCTATATCACGGCACATGGCGAAGAAATCATGTTCTTCGCCAGAACTTTACATTTATATGCTAAAACATCTATCATTTGAAGGTTCTTCCGAAAAATTTCACTGCCAGATGTTGCAGATCGACGGGAGCACAGTGGTGTTTGGACGGGCATGGCGACCCACTCTCCCCTTCACCCACCGCTCAGCGCCAACAAGCATCCGAGGAAACGGTAATGTTCAGAGGCTCAACAAAATATTTCATGCTAAGGTGGAGGGATACGGAAAATATGGAAAGAAAAAAGCAATTCGCTCCGGCAATGCTGCATTTCACACCAAAAGCATGGATCTCACCAAAAGCATGGAAGAAAAGGAGGATTCCAGGCGCATGGCGGAGAAATCAGGCTTGAGATCTTAAGCTATGTAATATGAGGTGCTGTGCAAATTAGCTCCGAGCTAATACTTCAATGGAGTTTGTCGGAATAAAATGATCCCAATAAACCCGAACTCAAGGATATTCAAAAAGAACCATCACATTTAAAGAAAAAGGAATACTAGGAAAATACAAGCTACTGAGGATGCTACCTTATTCTGCGGGAATTTTCGAAATCTGCAGTTTCTCCATCGGTATATTTTCCTAGTTTTACATCATTTCTATTCTCCAGCACATTCGATGATATGTAAAGTGAATAACTGTAACAAACACTTTCTGAAAAAAAAACTCACGTGTGGACCGATTCGGATTTCAGTAGTTGGTGAATAAACATACGATGGATTACACGTATCGGGCTTGAATGCTGACCTTACCTGACATCGGTTTTGCTCGGTGCTGTGCTGCAAATGGATATGAATTCAAAAATGAAACGAATACTTCAATAAATGTTCGTCAAGATTGTGGGCATTCACACTTAATTTTAAGAGCTACAGCTCCTGCCTCTATCCTTAGGTCCAGAAGTTTTTAAAGAGCCAGCTTCAGTACAATTTTCGGTTGTCATCACTGTATTTATTCTGGGTATTCAAGTTTTTCGATCTATCAATCAATTAGAGCAACCTGGGTAACGGCAACTAAAACTTTGATCGAATTATGTCAAGTATAAATTTTGCACAAGCAGGTGGATTTAGTATAAACCCCTCTCTCAGGGCCATATGCCGCGATCGTATCCAATCTTTTTTAAACTCATTTTTCTCCTCATGTAGCCTGGATATGATATTGTGCGAATCTGAACGATTCCTAGAAAATTGTCGCAACCGTAGTCTTGGAAGTGCTACCAGCTGGTGTTCAAGCCAGGCTATCATTACCAGGACACCTCGATGCAGACCCTGTGTATAGCGTTTGCTCGAGAAAATTTGTGCGCAAAGGCAGATGATAGGTTATAATACAATTTTTGCATGATGCCCATCGTGGATCCATCGTTTTCAATCTCTCATACAGTTTGCTCTAAGGACCCAATCATGGCAAATGAAGCCTTTTCGACAACTGGGTACAAGCCGATTTGCGATAGTTGCACGTCTTGTAGCGTATAGAATGCAAATCGCATTTCTTTCACATCCTTGAAATAGGACGCAGGTGAATTCAGGGAAAGGCTGAGCCGAAATACGCGTTCTGTTTCCATGCAGGCGTATCCATGCAGTGAGCGTATAATTCATTTGCGTGTGTGTGTGCAGTCAGAATCCCTTGTGTCGCTAGAGCCAAAGGCGAATGGGAACAAACAAAGTCTACTGTAAACTCTAGAGAAGCCAAGCCAAGTAAATATACCCCCAGTTATACTTCAGAGCAATATAAGCTGCTTTGAAGTACCAATTCGCCAGATTTCGAAAAAAGGTGGAGCATCAAAGAAATCCGACCTCCGCTCCGTCTTTGCGAGCATTTGGTGAGTCCTTTCCCGGGTTCGTTCCTCGTTTCCCCCACATGACAGTCTCTTGAATAGTTTTGCGTAGACAGGTCAATGTCAAACCTCAAAACGGTCATCTTGTCTCACATACGACCCCTTCTCCGAATACAGTTGCTCGGGAAGGAGTACGCTGCGGAACCTGCAGAAACTCAAGAGAAAAGACTGCTCTTTGTTCGTATGCTCTACTCCAATGAGAAGAGTCTACTCCGAGTAAACACAATTGAACCCAGGAAGGAATCGAAAGCCTCATAAGGCTCTTGACGAGAAAAAAAATGCAGAGAAAAAACAAGTGCCTACTTGCGCGCGGCACGCGCTTCGACACGTTTTTCTGGCTAAGGGGTATTCAGCGAGGAAGAAATTCTGGTGGCCAGACCATACCTATATTTCACCCAGTGCTGAAGCCGCTGAAAAGAGTCAGATCGCCTCACGTAGCCATTTTCCTTCTTTCATGCTTGTTTGGGCTAAAATCTCTAAAATCAGAGCGATATTGCAAATTTTGGTCGAGAAAATTACAAAATTTAATCCGAAACTCTTTAAGAAGGGTTTTTCTGAAAGAATGCAGCTGAGGGCCAAAAATTTGTCTGGAGATACGATTTGAAAACTGCGGCGCACTGGCTCACGATCAAGAGGGAAAAGATCAAAGCTCTCCAATCCTACTACGGATTTCTTGGCCTACAATGTGATGGGTCGCTGGATATAGTCCATACAAGAGAGGGAAGCCTGCGCTTCAAAACACCCCTCTGTTGCTGCTCCTAAAAAATCGTTGGAGAAAGCCTGGGCTCGAGCTTCTTAAGCAACTGCTTGTTGCCGTCGATGAGTAGCCGAAGCGTCTTTGAGCTATAATTAGTACGGATGACGGTCATAGAGGATGACCGTGTGCTCGTATTATAGATGCGATGCATAGTAAACAACTCACATGAATTCACCATGTATCAATATGAACTGCGGTTTCTGTAGCCTAATTCTTTTGTTACAATATTTATGGCGCACTCTGTATATTCATACGTATATGTCAGAGCTACTATAACATGGAAGGCCTACATTTCACTAACCCGAGGTAGTCCCTGATGAAGGGTAGAAAAAATCTCTTCAATGCAAGACGGTGTTTCCCTGTACTGTAGAAAATTCTCGGGAACATACGACATCGGTAGTGGGGGTTTTATCGTCAACCCACACATCGGTTATTAACTTCGTTTTATTGAAAGTTCGGCAATCGCAGTAAAAAGTTATTGATCGAAAAGGTGGGCATGGCTCTATTTTAGCTATAACATTTATAATCGTTCACGATTCAACATCTTGCTCACCATGTTCATCAATCAACTAGCCGTATCCAGTAGGGTTACAGTTTAAGATGGCCTATGCATTGCTCACTAAAAATCGCAATGATTTCAAGAAAATAACTTAAGGGGCTCATCCCTCTTATGATCTAGCCCTGAAGCGCAGGATGCTTCACGAAACACAATACTTATTGCCCAAACACCCCCATCTATATGACAATTATTCCTATATCCTTAAATTAAGAGAAGGTTATACATGAAATTTTATTCCGGGTCAAAAAGAAAGGCTCAAACATTCTTACAGGATCCCGACACCATGCACAGTCTGGGTGTTGTTTGATACATTGACTACAGCTGCTCTGTGCTTCTAAGGATCCGCACAACTGTGTAGCGTCGTCACAAAGACCTGAACTTTTCAGAAATGTACTTCGGACCATTTCGGAAACTTTTGCATATTTGAGATAACGAATTTCCCCACGCATCCTTACTCAGTTGATGGAGAAGTGGAAGGAGCAGCAGTGACAGCCGCATTTGCGTTTCTGGAAAAGAGTTTCGAAATCTGAAAATTACTGCGTAAGCAAATATCGCCACAGAACTCGCCAAAATAGTTCAGAAAGGGAACGGTGCTGATGCTTTCAGAGTTTATGTATAGCGGTGCCAGCGATGAGAAGTACGGAAAGCTGTGGAAGGGAGAGATAATTTAGAGGGAGAAAGAATATGAAACAGCAAAATAGTAAAGAATAAAATACGAGTCGGGAAAGGCGGCTATGAGAGTTATTCTACCCGATAAGCTGAGTAACTACATAGTAACTGCTCAGAAACACGTTCTAGATGATTTTCCGCAAACCTTGTAGCATTGGAACACCTCCAACATCCCAGCGTTTTCCCGAAATATTCTCGGACTTTCGTGCAAAAATTTTGTTGAAGTACGATTCTTTTGGTAACGGATGACTGTGTATATGGGCACGTAGCATTATGATTAGTCACGAACTTCAATAGAACACGAGAAATGGCATAGTCATCATGCAACTATGATTAGCACTTCCTTTGTATAGTTGGAAATGAGCCAGCGTTAGCAGAGAATTTCTTCCAGCAAAATGAAGTGCCACTTTCTGACTGGGACTCGCCTTTAAGGCGAGCAGAAAGTGGCACTCCATTTTGCTCTGTAAGCGCCCCTACTCTTCATGACTTGGAAGCAAACTTTGAAATTACTTTCAGACATATGGTGCGGCTGTTGGAGAATGAGTAGACGGTGGCTCAGGAAATCACGAAAGACACATCCCGATGACTCATCTCTAAGAATGTTCTGCCGAGCTTGATTGATTGTAAAGGACCACCGACAATGGGAACTTTCTCCATCTTTTTNTTTTTCCCATTCAAACGCGTTGAACAATTGTGATCAGGGATTTGGGGAAGTAAGCTACTCCTTCTGACACTTGCCAGAAGCTTCTACTCTTTGATTATCGAAATTCCTGAAAGCCAACATCGTACGAGGAGCGGAACTCCGACTTTGTAGCGAAAACGCATTCTATTGCGACACGACTAAACTTGAGGTAGGTCTTGAATAGTGGTAAATGTTAAGCTTAGGTGTTATTTTCCAGGTACATACTCTTCAATCGGAGAATTGAAACATACAATACGTTCTGCGCCCTTTGCTTTGTATTGGAGCGTCTGGATTTTGATTTTACAAAGGAAAAGCAACACTCGTACAGAATTGTAATACTTCTAGTAAGCATCAGTGAGGTAAGCAAGGGTAGTAATCACCATTATCAAAACTACGAGAGAAGTTTGAGTTCGAATATACATCACATTAGAGTATTTACAGAGAAGAACCAGAATGGATGAGTGACACTGTCTATGAAAGTGGAATCTTGTGAGAACACATTCCCCACCCGACCTCATAGACCGCTTTTTGAGACCGCCCCCTCAGGCACATGACTGCCACTATACTGCTATCGCATGTAGGAGAATAAGTCTACCACTAGACCAGCTTCCATGGCGTATAATCAAACAAAACCAATGGCCAGCAAAGATTGATGATACTACGTTCTGGCAAACCGTTGAGCCATTCACTTTGTGTTTACCGAACATCGGATGACCACTCTCATGCTACAGCCGTGAGAGTACGATGCCTTCGCCATTAGATAGCTCATCTTGAGTGAGCATGTCCGACAACTGTGACTTCTGCAGCTGTCAGCTGCAGTGGCACCTATTTGTTTACGGTCCTTGGTCACTAAGATGGACCCTACTTTTTACAAAGCTGTAGAATGGCTTCCATGTTCGGTCTTCTTGAAACCTGGGCATTTCACATAATGTTCTTTACATCTCTGTCGTACAGGTTAGTTATGGTTGGACCGCTTTATTGGTCAACGCTTCGACAAATCGTCATCTTGAGGACCTGTAAATAGCTCGAAGCTCCAAATCTGTGACTTAACCGACCGAGCGCCCAAACACGCTAGGCTTTTCGCAACAACTCGAAGTACGAAATGCTCCTAGCAAAGTGATCAACGTTCTGTGGTTCCACCAGAGACACCATTGATGATAAGAATTATGCGGAAGATCTCAAAGCCCACAAAAGGGAATGAATGGCAGGAGCTCACTTGTTACGGCTAAGCACTTACTTTGGTTGTTCAGCCTTGGATTTTCCGCGCGGATATGTAACGCTTCCAGTATTTTTCTGGCCTCAATTTCATTCTCGTAGGCTAGGATTTTACATTCAATGTCGAGATCATTGCCTTAACACTGAGAGTGATAAACCGTCCCTCGCTCCTATCTATGCATTGTCGGATCTTTACACTATACTGTATCTCCGGCTTCCTTCATATCAGATAAAACTAGCGCTGAGATCCGACAATGCATAGTACGAGCAATTTGGCCAATGATGTTGTCTTGGTAAACCCACCGGAAGACTATCAAACGTCATCTAATCCGCAATAGGCTTTATGACCATGCATGTATACGGATAACTGCGTCATTCATCCCCTTAAAAGACGGAGATTGCACACAACGAGGGACCGTTTATCAACTTTAGTGTTCAGCCTGTGACGAAATATATTATAAATTGTTGAGACGGGAAGGTGCTCGGTGTACGCGTCAAAGAACATCTAGCAGGAAAAAGGCGTGGAAGTCCACAAACACCACTTGGGAAGCACCGACTAGAAGGACATCAGAGCAATGATTTCGATGTTGAATGTAAAATGCTAGCCTACGAGAATGAAATCGCGAATGAAGCCAGAAAGATACTGAAGCGTTACATATCCGCGCGAAAAATCCAAGGCTGAACAACCGAAGTGGTGGTTAGCCGTAACAAGTGAACACTTGTCATTCATTCCCTTTTGTGGGATTTGAGATCTCCCGCATAATTCTTACCACAAATGGTGTTTCATTGGTAACAAAAACATAACATAACATAACATTGGTCCCTTGTTGTTCACATAGAGTAGGACGTAACGCTGGTGGAACGGCAGAAGGTTGGTCACTTTGCTGGGAGCATGTCGAAGTTCAAGTTTCCGGGAGTTGTTGCAACTAGCCACGCTAGGCTAGTCAGCGGTGTAAGTCACAGATTCGGAGCTATGAACTATTTTTAGGTCCTGAAGACGACGATTCCGTCGAAACGTTGACCAAAAAAGCGGTCCAACCATAACAAACTTGTACGCCAGAGCAGTAAAGAACATCATTCCGCGGAATGGCTGAAGCGATTTTGATTCAGAATCGAAGCATCAGAATCCGGAAAGAAAGGAGCAATACGTTAATAACCACAGTCAAAGGGTTACATAGCGAGTTTCATATGTTTTCTACATTGCTTAAAATCGCAAAAGTTCCAAAGTGTGAAGGGACTTTGTCAACGCTCACGCCCAATTAGCATTATGGACGAAGGATGCTCTCTTACCGGATGATATCTCAAAAGATCTGATCAACAATACCCCCTACTGAGTATAGGCGGATGTCATCACAACTGAATTCATACGAGATGGACAGCTGTCTCGGGGGCTGCTCCTCTAATAACTTCGTTTCTTTCTGGGTTGTTCACAAATTTTCTTTGACAAGTAATCGTAGGGAGGAAAAATGTTATCAGAAGCAAATGTTGTCCAAGGAGATCAGATTTCTGACATTTCTTTATTACGAGATTTGTTTTGTTGGTTGAAAAATTCAGATTTACACTCTCACTGGAGTGTAAGAGAAAGGGCATTCTCTACGTGTCATTTCGACAAGGTAGGGAAGCACAAAACGCACATGTTTGATTCCCTTCAAAGCGTGTTCTGGTCAGCGTTTCAACAGTAAAAATTGGTTTCCTTATAAATTTTTCGCCCAGGACCATAAAACAACATAAAAGGCTAGGATCCTTTACTAATAACAAGTTGGGCGGGTACCGTAGCGGCAAAAACCTCAATCGAGCATAAGTAGTATACATTCCGATTGGTTGAGCTTCTGTACCTATCGCAAAATGTTTGAGAAAACGATAAAAAAACATTCAGGAAGACCATTAATGAGAGGAGAACTGAATTCATGGCTTTATAGTAAAGGATCGCGTAAAGTTGCGAAAAAATACCGATAAAAATTGTACTGTAAGAATTACTGCAACTCTTCTGAAAAAATAGTAGTAGGAGTAAGCTTACTTCAGAAACTCACTTTTACAAACTAGAATCACAGAACGAAAACGAACTAACAACGGAAATTGACTAGGAAGACATGTTGTGATTTACTATTGTTCTTACTAGCTCCCCAAAGCTCCCCCTCAATGCAGTAATATACTTCTTAGCCAACTGGATGACTAGAAGCAATCAAGCGCTGCTAGAGTTGTTGATAACAAGATCGCAGAAAAGCTGGAGATGTATCTAGGCTGGCGGTTGGGCAAAAAACCCTTCACTGGATTTGTGTAAACCGCAGTCCGAACGAGCGGATGCACCCGGAGAAAGTTGAAGCCTCCCGGAAAGAGGAAGGGATCATGTGATCCAGCGTATCAGAACCGTGAAAGTTGAGCTAAGAATCGGCTCTATTTCACATTATTCAGCTCACACACACGCTGACACGTCTGTAAAAAGCGCGTCTCTGCAGAAGAGATTGCTGGACACGATTCGTGTAATCGGTGTGACAGCGGTGAGTGTCGCGGGCACCAGCCGAACAGGCGCTTGAAATTGGGCGATTGCCATCGGCATTTGCAGAGCTCTCGTCTTTAGTATCATAAAGTATCGTATACACGCCATGTGTATAGCAAGCTGATGCATAGATCTCGTCCCATGCAACTGATATAACTTTTGGGAGCCAGCGACAATGTGATAGAGCCATCCAGCGCAGTCAACACCTGCTGACTGTACAGAGAGCAAATGCGTGGGATGACATCATTACCGATGAAAAAAAGATACTTACTTATCTTAGTGGCTAAGTTGGGATGTTTTGTGTTTATTCAGTGGGTCAGCTGAGGAGGAACTACAATGGTCATCAACGAATTCAGGAATCCACCAGAAGGTCAGCGGTAGATAGGTAAATACCTTGTTCATAGAATACTTCACGCTTAACCCTTGTGTCATATTCCATAGAAGAAAGTAACAACAGCCTACAATCAGAGATGAAAAGGTTGGGGACTCGTCATTGAAAGTAGCACCAGCAGGACAAAGTGTGATGCGAGACTGGGGTGTTCTCAAGAGATTTCGTAGGTTTCTTGGTCTCTTTCTCACCTGGTCGGCCATTTCACACTCTTCACTCTTGCATTTTCAACATTGTATCTCACTTTCCACATCGTGCTATCGCGTAATGTGCCATTAACAACGATCGATCAAAACGGCTTACTCGGAGAAAAAGTACCGAAAACAATTTCGAAGAGTCACTGTCAGAGCCCAAGAGTGGGTGAGGGATATGAGTGTAAAACTGAAATGCGTCTCGAGTTCGTCTAGGTAGTTACTGGATCGTTTGCCGGAACACTCCACAGGCCCACGGTGGATTATTTGTCATACCATATGGGGACCATGCATTTCCAGGAGATCCAACAGAGTGGCATCACAAGGTCCCTTCCTCCAGAGCCATCTATTCAACAGGTGATGACGGTCCGGGAGCTTTTATGATCTGAGCCACCCTCAAAGCAAGTTTACATAAACAACTGTCACACGACTGCGACCGATTGCTTTCAGATACCATTGACCGGAATAGCACAGTCAGTTGTTCTCTGGGCTCTGGATGAATGAGTGTCCC